GGATATACCCCAAATCATATTTGTCACAAGAACCAATTCCCTTCTGATCTCAGACTCCTTAAAACATGTGAAACGAGGGGTTGCTGAACAGAAGAGCACTCTGCACATCTTGCAGGATCAGACTCCCTTTTATTTCCCTATCTGAAAAGCAGTCACTCTGTGAATTCTCAAACCTGCCAGTGCCTTCTTGAGCAGTGCGCTCACTGGCAGGCTCCTTGTGAAGTCCTAGAGGTGTCTGAGCACCACCACCTAAAATCAAGTCTTTCGCTCCTTGTGGGTATCAAGCAAATTCAAGAGCAGCCCGGCTCTGTGGAATCATTATATTCAAGAAGCAGCTCTCTGCTCCCACCCTTGTAGCCCGGTAGTATCATGTTGTGTTTTGCCAGCTGTCACAAGTGAAGGAGAAGATGTTTGGGGCTGAGCTGCAGAGCACGGTTGTTTGCAGGGCTCTTGGGGAGCTGCAGCTTCCTCCTGTAACGTTCCTGCAGCTGTTGCTCCTCCTGCTTCCTTCTCCCCACCTAAACTTCGGCACCTTTGCTTCGCCGTGGCCCTTGCAATAGCAACTGGTGCCATCTCGTCCATGCTACTTTCCTCAAGAAGGGTCTTTGACTGTCGTCACCTTCAGACTGATGTCACCATCCCTTTCCCACCCCAAAACTGAGGCTCTGTTGAGGTTTTGGGGTGAAGAAAGGGACTTCATGCCAGTTCTTTCCCTCATATTTTTTCCTAAACGACGCTGTTTATTCTCACGGATTACTCTTTGGTTCATAATGTGAACTCTATGAAAGACCTTTCACTTGTATGTTTATTAAGTGCTTGAACTTAGCATTTAGGTTCAAGAGGGGAAGCTTCATAGATGTCCAACCACTGTAATGAGAGAGGAGTTTTTATGCTCATTTTCTTTTTCAGATTCACACCTGGGGGCTGCTGGAGTAAACATTATTTTAATTCTAACTTATTTTAAATTTAGCTCATGCTCAGAGCCCCTCAGATTTGTTTGTAGTCAGCCCTTTTTATTCTTCCATAAATGCAAATAGATAAATCTGCTTTCTCAGCATTGCCTGAACGCGTCAGGAAATCTGCAGAGGTGACAACTCTGAAGACCGCTATACCCCCCTGTTAGCACAAGGTGGCAGAAAATGCCCAGCCTAAGTTCTGATGCTGGCCAGCTCAAACGGTGCTTTGCAGAAAATACCTTACTTGGGAAAAAAAATAAGCCCCTTTTGTTGTCTGTGTGGTAAGACCTTACTTTATGGCAATGCAATATGTGTTCCTGTATAGCTTGAAGAAGGTGCATAATTATATAGAGGGCTTGTAGATGTATTATTCAACAGAGAATTTATTGGAGGATTACAGCTGACATCAAAATACATGTAATAGTGTGGAAAAGATGACTGTATAGTTAAAGATATATATTTAGATATTGAGTTTTAATTAGACCTCAGGTTAAATGTAGAAGTGTCATTAGGAATGACAAATACAGTAGATGCTGGTAGGCTGTCTGACTAAAAAGAGACAACAAAAGATTTGGCCAGATTTTTCTTTGTTAAGATCTCAGCGACTCTTGTATTAAATCTTAAGTCTGCACTGCTCTTTATTCCCTCTGTTTCTCTGTAATATGTGCGTTTAGCTTTTGTGTGTGTTCACATTATTTCCATTGCTAGGAGATGCTTTATTAATTAATGAAAAATTTCTTTTGTCTTAAGAAGTAGTAAATTTTAGTTGTTGGCCAAACACCTAGGATTTAAGTATGGGGCCGTGAAAATAGATTTTGACTCTACCTGGTTCTGTTTTGCCAAACTCCTGAAACTTGAAACTGTCTTTCCTGAAAAATGGTACTATTTCTACAAATGTGTTTCTGTCGTACCACGCGAGCAGCTAAGAACAGGTTTACACATGACAGGCAATACCCCAGGATGGAAAACAGAAAGGTAGGTATTACAGTAGCAGCTTGTGTAACCGTGACACACACAAACACGTTGCTCAGCTCTGCTTTCTCTTTACCATCGCTTGGAGCTGTTTATGAAGCTTAGTTCACAATGTGCCTAGGCCAAGATGGTTTGAAACCAACCCTACGTGTGCTGCTGTTGGGAATAAGGCTGTTGCCTAATTATAAATGTGATGCTAATTATAAACTCCTGTGTTAAACGTCTTGGCCAGATATTATTAGCTGGATAAATCAAATGATCATTACACATAGAGCGTGAGACAGACAATAAGAGGAAAGGAAATTCCGGTTGCTGTCAGCATATGTTAAAGATGATACATCATAATTTAAAATAGTTTTGATCACTCCATATGTTGCGACACTTAATCACAGATTCACAGAATGGTTGCAGTTGGAAAGGATCTCCAGAGAGCATCTAGTCCAGCCCCCTGCTCAATATCTTTATTTTTATGGGAAAGGACGATGGTCAGTCTTGAGAGGTGATTCTGTCTCCGTCAGTGAATCTCTGCGTTTTCCTTAAATTGCTTACTTAGGCTCGAGATTGAAGTCAGTGTATTTGGAATGGTTCATGTATAGTACAGTGGCACAGACAGCTGTTTCCCATGTCTGTCTGTTATAACTTGTCATTTTGCTTCACAGTATGGAAGGTGTGAGAAGTGACAGGTTAAAATAAGCACGAGAAGGACTGCTGGTTTTACGCGGTCATACTAATGAATGAGCTGGGAGCCAAGTTAGCTCCACGTGAAGCAGTTTAAATTATTTATTTGCAGTTCTGTAAGTGTGCTTAACATACTGTGAAGTGAGAGCCGTGTTGACAGGGTGACGTTAATTACCCTCCTGGAAACACATCACATCAGCTGAACACAATTGCCTGCAGCCGTCACTCCCGGCTCTGCATGGAGCAGGAGCCACAGCTGTCAGAGATGTTGGCAAACAGGTCCCCCCTCCGCCGTGGAAGTTCCTTCTGCATTCACCCTCAGCTGCAAATTAGCTGTTTCCTTACAGCGACAAAATAGTAAGTTCAGTGTCTCTTCTGAGTTTCCTTTTACCCCGTTTTGTGAGCATTAGAGTGATTGATCTCTTCTCCATTAGAAAGGAGACCTCGTAAAAATCTTGCTTCACTGATGGGCAGTGTAAATCACACGCATACACTTACTGCTCCTGTAAATGCCTTCCCACAAGTCCCCTAATGATTTTGTTGCTACACCTTAATTCATGGCACAAAGGTTGTGTCCTGCAGAGCAGGAAGTTACTACGTGTGGGGTCTCTGTTCTTTGACGAGGGTTGGGATGAGGCATCCCTCCTGAGAACAGAATGTGGTTTGAGTAGCCCGGGTGTGGACGCGTGCTCGTAACGGTGAGGAATCCACGACTTTTCAGAATATTTCAGAATATTTCAGAATATTTAAGGTTGGAAGGGACCTCTACAGATCATCTAGTCCAACCTTCCTGCTCAAGCAGGCACACCTACAGCATGTGGCACAGGGCGGCATCCAGGCGGGTTTTGAAGACCTCCAGAGAAGGAGACTCCACAACCTCCCTGGGCAGCCTGTTCCACTGCTCTGTCACCCTAACAGTAAAGAAGTTGCTCCTCACCTGGAGACGGAACTTCTTGTGTTTCAGCTTGTGGCCATTACCCCTCGTCCTATCGCTGGCCACCAGTGAGAACAGCCTGTCCCCTTCCTCCCTGCATTCTCCCTTCCTGAACTTATACATATTAATCATATCCCCTCTGAGCCGTCTCTTCTCCAGAGAAAACAGGCCCAGCTCGCTCAGCCTCTCTTCATACGAGAGATGTTCCATTCCCTTAATCATCCTGGTTGCCCTTCTCTGGACCCTCTCGAGAAGCTCCACGTCTCTCCTATACTGGGGTGCCCAGAACTGCACACAGTACTCCAGGTGCGGCCTCACCAGAGCTGAGTAGAGGGGCAGAATCACCTCCCTTGACCTGCTGGCAACGCTCCTCCTGATGCAGGCCAGGATCCCATTGGCCTTCTTGGCCACGAGGGCACACTGCTCACTCATGGTTAACTTAGTGTCAACCAGGACTCCCAGGTCCCTCTCCGTGGAGGTGCTATCCAGCAGGTCAAGCCCTAATCTGTACTGATGCCTGGGGTTATTCCTCCCCAGGTGCAGGACCCTGCACTTGTCCTTATTGAACCTCATGAGGTTCCTCTCTGCCCAACTCTCCAGCCTGTCCAGGTCCCTCTGGATGGCAGCACAGCCCTCCGGAGTGTCGGCCACTCCACCCAGCTTGGTGTCATCCGCAAACTTGCTCAGGGTGCATTCCGTGCCCTCGTCCAGGTCATTGATAAACAAGTTGAACAGCACTGGGCCCAGTACTGACCCCTGGGGGACACCACTGGCCACAGGCCTCCAGCTGGACTCGGCCCCATTTATGACCACCCTCTGAGCTCTGCCATCCAGCCAGCCCTCGATCCACCGCACCGTGCACTCGTCTAGCCCACTGTCCCGGAGCTTCCGTATGAGGATGTTGTGGGAGACAGTGTCAAAAGCCTTGCTGAAGTCAAGGTAGACAACATCCACGGCTCTCCCCTCATCCAGCCAGCCTGTCACCCCATCATAGAAGGCTATGAGGTTCGTCAGACATGACTTCCCCTTGGTGAATCCATGCTGACTGCTCCTCAGCAGCTTCTTCTCCGCCATGTGCCCGGAGATTCTCTCTAGGATGAACCGCTCCATCACCTTTCCAGGGACAGAGGTGAGGCTGACCGGCCTGTAATTGCCCGGCTCCTCCCTCTTGCCCTTTTTGAAGACTGGAGTGACGTTGGCTTTAATTCTGAAATATTCTGAAATATTCTGAGTTCACACTTCCTTCCTTCTTGCTCAGCATCGCTGCGAGTTACGGGCTGAAACTGGCTCGACTGAAGAGGAGATTCCTCTACAAGCGAAGGAATGGCTGGGAATGTGGAGCTGCAGTATTTGGGTTCTCTACGCGCAGCTAGAGGCTGTGCTGGGAGCGTGCACGTTCACCCTGTTTGCTCCTCACAGCACTAGACTGCGTCTAACAGCGTCTCAACGTCTGTTTGTAGGTTAGGCCAAAGACCCTGATCCCAGACAGCCTCCCCATCTCCCCGTGCAGAGAGCAGCCTTCCAAACAGCCGCCCGCCTTCCAGAAGGCGACCGTGGTGAGCGTCAAGAACCCCAGCCCTGCCCTCCCGACCGCCAACAACACCGTCAGCCATGTGCAGGTGCCCGGCAGCCAGGCGCCGGGCGCCACCGAGCCCGCCGCCCTCTCGTCCCCGCTGAGCAGCGCCGGCGTCGCCTACGCCATCATCTCCACCTCGGCCGGCAGCGCGGCCCCGCTCGGCGCCGGCGCCGCCGTCTCCGTGGTCAACGACGGCATCAAAGTGCAGCCGCTGCTTATCAGCGCCGACAGCAAGGTACGCTTGGCTCGGCGCCGCGCTTCGGGGTGCAACGCGGGCACCACGCGGCTGCTCTGAGCCCCACGGGGCTGCTCTGAGCCCCACGGGCCCCAGGGAGCGCGCGGCCGCGGCGGGCGGTGGGTCCTTTCGAAGCCAGTCGTCGGAAAGCAGTGATTATTATTCCCAATAATGGGAAAGCAGTGAAGAACTTCTCCCTGGCACACGCGAATGCTGGGAGGCCTTTCTCTGTGCACGTGCCAGTTTTTTAATGGGGACAAAATGCGTCGTCGTGTCGCCTGATGTTAGTGGTACCATATGAGCTTTCCCTTTCCCTGAACCAATCCTCACTAATAAAATCCCCGAATTGTGCAAAAGCTCCAATTTCCTATGGGCTCCCTCTTCAATTATACGGCGATATTAGTTGGATCGACTGCTCCTGGGGGAGCATATCAAATAATCAGGCGTCCTCGTCCACATTTCCAAGGGAAGGCCAGATGAGATGAGAGCTCGGGGGTTCAGAACTGAGCAGCAGAGGAATCTGTATGAGAGGGGAAAAAAAAGTTATAAAAGTTATAAATTACCTGTTTTCTCTTTGTACAGCTTTTTAGCTTTGAAATACAAGAACTTCCCCTATTCTCACACTAGCCATAGATCTGGTAAAGACTGTGCCCACCAGATATTTACTGTAATGTCTTACCAGGATACTACTATTTTGCACCTTGTTTGCAGTGCAGGGTCTAATACAGTGGAAATACAGTAAAAAGGACAAAATAGAGGATGTGGGGTGGCTTTTGAGGTTAATAAGAAAAGGTTTCTCTTGAATAGTTTTCTAATATGATTTATTTTTCTTGTACTTAACTGGTTGCTAATTAAAAAACAATTCCTTTTTATGCTCTGAAATCTTGTAAGCAACTAATTTAATACAAAATATACAATGATTAAATAATATTCATTAAAAGTTAGCAATAGAAAAAGACTTGTGTTCAAATCTAATAACTTTCAACAAGAAGTTGAGCTTGGTAAGGTTTTCTGTAGTCCCTAGAAAGTCTTGGTTATGGTTGTAACATTACATTTATAGCTCCATCGTCAGAAATTTTCATTCATTCCTTTTAATTTAATAACTTTTGAGATAATGCTTTCTGCAGCCTTTAAATCTGACGTTGCAATTCCAAGATACTAGCAGAGCTGGTTAGGCTAATGCCTAAAAGGTCTTTATAGTAGTGCCTACAGGTAAGATTCTAGATCAAAATGAATTTTAATATAAAAAATGTGTTTTATTTTGTTTGTGCAAAGCTGAGCATCCCCTGTAGGTAGTTCCCAATACATGAAGGCTGAGGATTGAACTCTGTTCTTGGTTGAATCTGTAGTTATGAGGAGTGTCTTCCTTCCCATCAACATGTACATGCTCTGCAGTGACATTAGTGTCACTGAGATGAGACTATGCTTTTGAATATACACTAGTTTCATTTCTGCTATGTGTATTCACAAATAAAATCAGAGGAAGGAACTTACAATACGGGTGTTAAAATTATGCTGCTGAGTCAGTTTTAGAAACCTTCTAAACACAGCATCCTAAATTTCAGAGATGCCATTCAAGTGGCTCCCTTTGGCTGCAATAAGCTTATGATACAGCTGCAAAAATGAACTTTTAGAATCATAAAGTAGGATACACAGGTATCCAGTTTTTATTATTTTTGGCTTTTGACTTGCATTTGTTGCCTCTATGGGTATCAAGTGAGCCTTAATGAAGAATCAAAGGCTTTGGATGGCAAATCCAGGCTCATGTAGTGAACTTTGTTTCTTTTTTTATTTGTACTTTTAGGTTATCATTATTCAGCCTCAAGTCCAAACCCAGACAGAAAGTAAAGTGGAGACAAAGAAACCTACTGAAGAGTCAGCTCAGGGACCCCCTGCTACCAAAAAGAAAAAGGAGGAAAATCCAGAGGTGATTTTTTTTAAAAATCTTTATAAATAAGCTATAATATATATACATAATTACTGCACTTGTGCCCGCAGTTGTTCACATCTGTCTGGTCATCCCGTGCACGTGGGATTATTTCTCACCCAGGGAGGAACCTCTGACAGATGTGGATTGCATCCTTCAAGCCTGGCAATTCCCCAAATGTAAGAATTGTAGTAGGCCTTGCACTGATTCAGGCACCTCGCGTGGGTGCAGCTGTATTTCTTGTGAAAGATATAGATAGATAGATAGATAGATATGCAAGCTTAATATATTTTCTTTTATGCTATCGAGTATGTAACATGGGATTTGCAGACTGTGCATGAGGTTGAATTAACATTTCTTTTGCGAGCTGAGATTTTACATTTTCTTCTTCTTTGTAAGAAACCTTGCAATTTTTAAATTGTGTGCAACGACCTAACTTCTTGCATTTGCTGTGTACACATCTTCCCACATGTATACAGATTGCTTCTAGACTGAAATACATTAAAATCTTTTAAATTGAGTAAGGAAGGGGGAAGTAGATTATAATATTAAATCTCTTTTATGAACTGTATTTGCTATGTAAACTAAAAAAATGAATCAAGGAACCATGTTGAAATGGAGCCTAACTTTAGCAGGCACTTGGGGGGTTGACTAGATGTGTTCAGATTAGATTGTGAGTACTTTTGGGGCAGTTTGAGAAGTTATACAGACTGAATCTATTTCCCATATGGAAATGTTCAGAGCCTGTGAAATCTTTAGCTGTTAGCCTAGAATACACACTTTAGCTGTTAGCCTAGAATACCACAGCTTTATGCAGAAAATCTGCAAAAGCAAACATACCAAATCTCCACAGTCTAAAATCTGACTTTCATCTGTATCCTTGTTGCCACCTGGGGCTATATAGGGGCTTGTTTTGTTTATGGAGGTGTTCCTGAAATACCCTTTCGCTGCAGAGCACCATGTGGGCAGAAATAGTAGTAGGTCCTGCTTAAAAAAGGCAAAGCTGCTGGAGGTCCTTCTTTTCCTACGTCCCTGGTAAGAGCTGAGAGACCTTGGAAGAGCTAGAATAGATGAAGCAAAAAGAGAATTTTAGAAAAAAATCATCCGTTTTCTCCATATGTAACTTATGCCCCCAAAATATTGAGCAAAAATTCCAGTGAGATGCAAGAAGAGATAGACAAAGGGACACTTTAGGATAGCCATTATAAATCGAATGCACTTTCTATTCAATTCCTGACTACCCTTTTCATCCTTTTGACTCCTTTATTCACATAACTGAGAACATTGTTCCCACCCCATATGCAGGAGGTCTCTGCAAGCACAGTTTTCTGCATAGGATGCAAAAGCTGCGCCCCTAACTATGCCTTTTTTTATCCTTTTCATACATTAGCTTCACAGGCTTAAGAGTGTAGGTCTAGAGTTAATTTGTTTTGTTCTTTGAAAGTAAACTTTGGTTGATTATCATGTATTTATGCAATTAGTGCAATTAGGACTAACAGCGTAATTAGTGTAAACACATGTAATGACATAAATAGAACATGTAATTACAAAACGAAATGGTTTTGTAAAAATCTTTGTTTCGCTACATGAAAAGACATACTTCACATTTCTAAGAAGCATTCAAGGCTGTTTGACAGATTATTAACTTTAAGGCAAAGAAAAATACAGATACCGTGATTTTATTTATTTATTTTTTAAATAAATAAGTACTCTAGGCACTTCTCTCCACACCTCTATTTATCTTCAAAGCACAAAGCCGAGGCAGGAACTCCAGTACTGCTTGGCATTAATGTCAGTCCTGACAGCCTGGGATTTAAGAAATTTAATTTAAAATAGTACAACAAATAAACCAGAAATAACCAGGCTTACAAACAGCCAGGAATTCCATATGCAGTTGCTGAATGCAATGGAATAAACACAAAAGATTAAGGATACTTAAGTTCTTTTGCTGGGAGGAGATAGAGCTGGTTTGGGATGCTTCGCCCTGCCGTACATGTGCGTTTTGCAGAAGGCTAAGACTTCTTTACCTGGCTCCTTTAGTCCTGAGGCTAAAGCAGGGTTCCTTGTGCCTGCTCTTCTGGCAGCCAGTGCTTCCAGCTGTGGAAGCAGTTTGCCTAGAAGGGAGAGAGAGTCTCGGCCACCTCGGATAAGCCAGGGACAGGGCACTCTCCCAAGATGCGATCGGCAACCCGGCAATGGGCTTTCCTCGGCACCAGCCTCCCCCATGGAGATGGATTCAGCTGGGAAGCAACACGAAGGAGCTGCTCCTTCCTGGGATCAGCACTGAGGACTTCAGGTGCAGAATTCCTCCTGATACACTTGAATGTTTCTGTTTTGTATTTCTAAAAATCTACATTTTTAACCCCACCTTAGAAAGACAGGAGAGACACATTGGCCCCAAGTTTGGGCTAAATGCCGGTGTTTGGCCCAGCAAGAAAACCCGCCGAACCTGAAGCATCAGCAAGGCTGTAAAGAGAGTGAGAACACTTCGTTTTAGTTACTCTGTGATATATGGAAGGGAAGCATGGCAGAGGAAGCTGTGTTTTGAGTGGAGTTCATCTAGCTACGTGAGTGTGCAGGAGGCAAACTGTAAACCCAAATATTCTGTTAATGTGCTTGGGAGAAAGAATACAGCTTATGCAGGGAGTTTCGGAAGGGAACCATCTTGCAAATATCTATGGCAACTAACCCTTCATGTCTTTAATAACGAGCTAATTATCGAGTCTGTTTATGAAAACTCTTCACACGCTAAGCAAGTATGCTGCCATTAAGTGTAATTAGAAATTTGTGCAGGTAAATTGAGCTCGGAGAGAGGAAAGTGTTTTGAAAGCATTCCAGGACTCAAAGACTTTTCAGGTAGGTGCAGGAAAAAGCAGGCTGCCTTTACGGCTTGATCTGTGATTTATGCAGGCATTCCCAGCTCCCTTGTGGAAATATAATCCCGTATTAACCATCCCAATGCTGTAAATCCAGCTGCCACTATTGGCTCTGAGACTGAGCCTGCCACAAAGTTATTTTCAGGGGAGGTCAGGTGAAGCCTGTATTTGAGCTCAGTTGACTTGTTTTCTTCTCAGATCTGCCCAGTGGATCTCAGATCAAATATTCCCCTTCACCTTCATGCGTGGAACCCCCACGGTGCCCAGCCGGTGATTTAGGCACCTAAGGAGTGGAGGTTGCTGAAACCAGGATCTGGCGCTCAAATGAGAGCGTGTGCCTGTCGTTATCCCAGTTACCAGAGGCAGAAATGTAGCGAAAATGTAGTCTAAATTGCTTGTGCTGACATTCCACGTGGCTGGTTTTTAATCTGCAGAAAGAATTTCCTGCTAGGAGCTTGCAGGAGCTCTAGGAGCTTGCAGGAGCTCAGGAGCTGCTAGGAGCTTGCCAGTAGCTTCTGTTCCCATCGTATGAGTTGTAAATTCACATTTTTGTTAGAGATTTTCAGAGGTGCGGGATATGGATACCCCATCTTGATCACCTGATTTTTGAAGAACCTATGATTTTTGAAGAACCTATTTTTGAAGAACTAGATCTTTTAATGAGGGTATACTTATTTTCATACTTTCACTGTGTTAAGGTCAGAATTACCAAAGAAATATTATCAGTTGGTTTTATCCTGACCTGAAATGAAATGCTGAAACATGACCCTTTTCACAGAACAAAAAGGTCAAACTTAATTTTGCCTTGGAAGTGCTGCAGCATGTTCTCCCTTACGCTTCTTCGACTGAAACAGAATGTTTGGACCTTGTATCACTTAAACACTGTTTTAATTTGACCTAAATCTGCACCTTTTATGTTGGCTGAGTAAGATAATGGCATTTTCTTATCCTCTTTGGAGGCTTGGTCAGAGCTGAGTGGTAGGTTCTGCTTTTTGAACTGGTTCACTTGGCTGAGTTTTGGCAATGGGCTGTACTCATAAAGCATTGCCTTTGTAGTTTTATAGGCCCTAGGTAGTTAGGTATGGGCTGTGGGTATAAGTTGGTATAAATAGGACCCGTCTGACCAGACATATCTGAAACAAATTTTTAATTATAGTTCTTCACATAGGGATGCGCTCAAATAATAGGCACTTATAATAGATATTTACTGGGTTTATTCTGGCAATTATTTGTTTACTTGTATTTACCGTGATTGCTCTGTGAAAATGTGTAACACTGGTTTATTTTTTCCCCTAGAAAATTGCCTTTATGGTAGCATTAGGACTGGTTACAACAGAACATTTGGAAGGTAAGACGGCCATTGCTTTGCAGTCCAGTTTTGGAGCGGTGAAAATATTGCCCCGGAGTTGAATGCAGGAGTTGCACCCTGCTCAGGGTTCTCTTACAACCTTCCAAAAATACCTTGCAGGAATCAAGAGATCTGCATCTCTGTTTTAGCTCCATCCCTCTGCAAATAGAGATGAGGGGAAGCAAAGAGCTTGTTGGGCAAATATGCCCAAGGTGTGAATGGGGGTTGAGCAGTTCTTCACAGAAGGGGCTGGCCCTCCTGGACACAGTGCTTTAATTTTATCCTCAGCCAATATCATTTAGTGCCTTCCATTGATATAAGAATAACTAATCTGATATCTGTGCCAGCTGAAAATGGTTCTTAATTGCAAAACTGATTATCTGCTTTTAAAGCAGCCATATTCCTCAGTAGCGCGTCGACTCAAAAGCCCAAGCTACTGTTTTACCTCTTGGTTTCTTATTAAAAAGATTCTTTGCACTTCTCTCCCTCGGATTTAAAATAGGTTGTAAATTAGGGAGAAAATAATGTCTTAATTATAAGGTCTTGCAGCAGATTTTCTCTGGGTTTTGTTGCCTTTTTTTTCAGTGTGTCTGCTCTTTAAATCTGCATTTTAGAAAATCATTTAATGTCCTAGGGACTGCGAATTTGAAGCAGTTTGAAGAAAGTTTAAGCCATTGGCCTTTTTAATCCCTTAATGGTAATGGATTGAAATGGAAATTAAAAAGCTACAGCAATTTTGGAGGGAGAATTCTAATCCACAAAGTGCCAATGATGACAGGTTCTTGTTTTCTTTGTCCAAGTAAAATAGGACGACGTTTGAAATTGTGCTGAAGTGCAAATTACACTTGCAACACAGAGAACTTCATTTTGCATAATTCCTTACTCTTTGATTTTATTGGAACTAATAAATTGTTGTGTGGATTTAGTGTTTCATGTTAAAAACCCCAAGCAGCAATCTGCTCCGTGTGGTATACAGCAAGCACAGAGAGCCCATGTTAAAGCCGACGCCGACAATACTAATCCTGCAAAATCAATTCTCTCGGACAAATTGACTTTTTATATTCCTACTAGCGTTAAATAAATGGTTCCTACATTGAGCCATTTTGTAAGGAAAAGGTATTTCTTCGTGACTGCTGGTGATTACAGCTGTCAAAAATACCTTTATAGCTTTCACATGCTGCAGGTTTATTATTTTAGTGCTGCCTCATATTTACTGTTATCAGCCACTGCTGTTTATCAAGTAGTGGCCATTACACAGTTGAGTTTCTTTCAGTACTTCCAATGTGTTTCTCCGCGTTACATGTTGGAATGAAACTGTATCAAGATCGAGGCACTAAGAGCCCGTCCATTCAGCATCACTGCTTTGCAGTGGGACTGCTTTTCTTTTTACCCATTAGTTTTGTGGTGAAGGGCTGTGATCCACTCCTGTGTGGAGTTCTCTGTGAGCTTAGCAGCCTTCCCGCGGGACTTCCAAAGGGAAAGGCTTTCCCTGTGCTGGGAGCAGAGCATGTTCTGCAGAGAGCAAACGTGAGGCGTTTAGATACAAGGGCTGTGCAGTTCGGCCGAGTTCAGTTCAGTCACTGTAAAAATGAGCTTCTTTTTTACCTTAGAGAAAGAGTGAAAGAGAGTAAGACAGAAAGAAAGAGAGGAAGAAGGAAGGAAGGGAAGGAGGGAGGGAGGGAGGGAGGAAAGAAGGAAGGAAGGGAGGTAGGAAAGAGAGAGAGAGAGAAAGAGTAAGAAAGGAAAGAAGATGAAGGAAAGACTTCTATTTGCATTAATGACATACTTTAATCAGTTAAGAAGAAATCTTTTCACTTTATTTAGCTCTCTTTTGATCCATATAAAAATATTCAGGCCGTTCTTTCGTTCATTTATTTAACAACATATCAAAATACTTTGCTTTTTCCAGCCCGATGTCATAATGTTTTCAGCCAGAGCTGTTGCAAAACTTGACCCAGATTCCTAGGTGTTCTTGTTTCCCTCCTCCAAAACTACCCGGGATAGTTAAATTTGCTCGTGGGCGTATGTGTGTTCATATTACATGATGCTGGCATCCCAGTTAAATGCAATTAGTTATTGGGGTAGCTCCTCAGTGCCCTGCGTGGCACGAACATGGGTACCCCAGCCCAGTTTCCAGTCTGCATCACAGTTCTGCTGAAGAGAGTATGTAGGAAAGAACCTACTTTTTAAACCAGGAACACGAGGTCAGAGAGCTCAAGATACATCATGGCCTCCTTGTGAAGATCCTGAGCCCAATCTTGTCCCTGACTCACAGAAGGTGCCACGTGAAACCCCTTGTTTCTTCTTCTGGCCCAGCAGACGGTCCCAATATGGGATCTCTGCAGCAGAGGAGGGGTGGTCCTGCCTCCAGCTGTTTCACAGCTCCACCCCAAGGGCAGGGAGGTTGTTGCGACCGGGGTCACTTACCATGGAGAGCCTGGAGACCACAGAGGCCGAGCTGTTAACACTGGCTGCAAGAACCATGTTAAGATCCAAGCAAAAAGTTGGCGGAGGTCCCTTTTCTCAGCTGGCCTTGGGGCCCCGTTCCCACCCTTGTGGCACCTCTGTCTCTTCTGACGATTGTGCATTCCCCACGTCACCAAGAAGATGGCGGCTGGAGGCAAGAACAACCATCTTAAGTGATGTGGCCCTCACGGGCTGCTGCGTCCTCTCATCCACTGCTACCTAGGGCAGGTTCCCTTCAGAAGATGCCAAAGGGTTTGAAACTTTCAGGACTTCAGTTTCTACATAGCCGTAAGAGTATTTCACAAGAAATACCTTCTCTGTGGGACAGAACTACGGCCCAGCGAGTAACCCCATGGGGGTTGTTTTCCAAGCACCAGAAGTACCAGGAGGAAAACCTAGTGGGAATATGCAGGTAGCTGCATATTTTTCACGTCTGTCAGGCTTCCTCCTGATGGGATTGTGTGTCCAGGGGCAGGGATTTAGCCCATTTTTGGTGAGTCAAAAGCTCCAAAAGGGTGTCTTGGACTTCAGAGCAGTACAACACCGAGCAAAGTGTTGGCCTCGTCTCTCAGGACAGCACGTGCAAGACATAAAAGATAATACCGTGTGCTGCAGCAAGGCTTGCAGGGGTACACGGGGAACCCCTTGCAGGGAAGGGATCAAGCCTTGGAAAGGGTGTCAGGAATCCCCTTCCCGCACGCGTTTCCCGTGGGGGTGCTCCTGGTTCGCGCAGGTTTGATTTCCTTATCAAAATTAAAAGTGGGCTGTAAAAAAGTAGTCTGTAAATTATAGTCATCATCCTCAGCCAACGTGAACAACCGGAGAAGAATTCAGAGCAGAATAGAACCTAAATCCTAGGGGAGCTAGAAGTCACGTGAAACCCACAGATTTCAGTGGGGCAGGGTTTTGCCCACCCTTTCTGTGACCCCCTGCAGAAGGATGCCTAGGACTAAGTGTTGCAGAGGACATACTGTCTTGTCTAGGCGTTACCATGTAGTGCAAGGGAGTTCTCCTATAGCAATTCAGTTAGGCCAGCTTTGTCTGCCATTGCCCTTAACAGGGAGGGGTGTGCTGCTCACGAACTTTGCCATCAGCTCTGTATTGGATTAATAAGGTGTCACTCCCTACTTAGAACTGAATCTTGCCTTCCCATTATTGCTGTGCTTTTTTTTTGCCCCTAATCTTAGCAGAGGAAAAGTAATGTAAAAGACATTATTCTTTCATTGGATATGACTTAAAAGGCTTAACTGCTGTGTATGATTCGTTTTTGTTAGTAGCAGGACTGGTTTTGCAGTGTTGATTGTGTTGATTGATGGTGTTTTGAAAGCCCCTTGTTGATGCATACTGAAGATGTTTCGGAAGGGATCATAATAAAAATGGTGTAGGGTAGCCTAAGCCCACCTTGGAGGAAGAAAAAATAAAAATACCTCTGTTTTGAATCTCACGAGGACAAGCCTGTTAATGCCAAGCCTTGAACTGCAACAAGTATCAATGCTGATGCAGCCCAATTACACTTTAGAGACTGAAAGCGAACCCAAAGCCCATGGGGTTGAGGGTGAGAGCGTGTTGTTTAGCTGGTTAGATCTGCATTTTTTCCCTGCTGAATGAGAAATAGATGATTGATGCCTCTTTCTGTGGTTGCAGAAATCCAGAGCAAGCGTCAGGAAAGGAAGAGAAGAAGCACCGCGAATCCAGCCTACAGTGGGCTCTTGGAAACAGAGGTACTTCATCGCGCCCGGCCTGCCATGGTTTGGTTTCACATCAATAAGAAGTTCAAGTGCTTCTTGTGTTAAAAGGACACGTGGATGCAAAACTCTGCATTTATTTGTAAAGAAACACTGAGGTGCAAAAGAAAGAAAAGATTTTCTCTCAGTAGCTTAGCAACAGGTTTTCACACCACAACCTGACTTGCTTCAAAACTGGCGTTCCTCTTGATTTTAATGAAGGCCAAAAGGACTAAGTTAATATGGGTCCTTGTGCTCCTGTTCCCATACAGTAATCCCTGTAGGTTGGCACTAAAGTGCAGAAGGGAGGCATCACACTGAATCTTGTATTGCTATTCCTCTTCTCATGTGTGCTCAAGAATAAATGGAGAGTTTTGCTTTTCATAGTAGTAACATATTCATGAAAGGAATTTATTGGTTTAAGAATCAGTGTGCTCTGCAGGTGGTAAGGAAGCATCCATAATAAATATAATAATGCATAATTAAAAACAAAACTGCTATGAATAATCTCTGATGTCTGTTATATATTTAGGCTGTCAGATTTCTGGCTGTTTCTGAATTGAAATATATGCACTTATTAGATGTAGTAAAACTCTGTCTTTAAAATTTCTCCCCTGCTTGAGGTCAGTATTTAAACTTCAGAAAGGAAGCTGTTAGAGCTTGGGTTTCTGCAGGAATAAAACTGACTTGCAACCCACTCTCTGTATAAGCAGGATTTCTATGTGTTCTGCATTCTTTAAGCCTAAAGAAAGTTATTTCTCTTTGCTTAGGTACCAACAAGGCAGAAGTTTTGGTCTGCCATTATTTAGGGCTTCCAGCTTTATTGGCAGAGGGCAAACATGAGGGTAGGAAGAAATCCACCCGTGCAGTCCATCTGTTTAGTGGCTTGATTGCTCCTTCTTGAAAGCCTTGCTGATTTTGCCACTTGTAGATCAGCTCTGAACTCCTGGATCTTCCAGGCTAAGGAACTTTCCTCTAGTGACTCTAAAGAACAAATGCTGTTCATACATCCACTATTTAACACTATGAGAGGCTTAGCCCTTCTGGTGTTAAATTCATGCTGTCTCCTCCAATATTGGGTCATCTGGATGAGTTCCTTAGAGCACTCACCATGGAGTTTTGTGGCTGTAGCCTGAGCAGAGTCAGTTTTGAGAGTTATTTTGATTATGCTGCCCCCCTAGTTCGCTTTTCTCATGAGCTCTGTTCTCAGAAGCACGGGCTGAAGTGAAGGCTGGGAACACGAGAGGTTGCCTGCCGGAGAGTCCTCAGCCTGGTGGCCCATGTCCTCATTAGGAGCTGCCTTTAAGTACTGACCATGGGGGATGCCATTCCCGAGAAGGGAGGCAGATGGTTTTTCTCTCCGATCAATTAGCTGCTCCCATTGACTTGCTCATCAGTGAGCTGAGGTATTTTGTGGCATTCCAGGCGTTTTGGTGCAGCTTAATTTACAGTTAGTCTTCTGAAGGATCTTTAATTCATGATTATTTAAATTGAAATTGCATATAAATTAGGCTTTTTATTTGCCGACCCCCCTCAAACGGCAGGAGTTCAGCATCTGTAGCGGTGATGTTAACTTCCTTGATTACAAAAATGTGATCAGTCTTACGTCTTCACTTGAATGTTGTCCCTTTTCCAGAGCTTTCATATGTTTTTGAGATAGATATACATCTTTTCCACCCTTAGTGGCATATTTTTTTGTGTAGCAGCAAGACTAAAGTTTTCTTGAAAAGCTGGACGCTTTTTCAAGAAAGAAACACCAGGTGAAAACTCATCCACAGACTGCCAAGCACCCACGTATAAAAAAACAGTTTACTCACCACAAAATAAATCATTTGTCAGCACAAGATTCTAGTTTTCTTCCAAATGGAGTCTCACAGTATCTAATGGAGGAAAATGGTCCTGTTCCCCAGCCTGCTGGAAAGCGCTGGGCAGCTTCTAGGAACATTAGAGGTTATAGGGACTGTTAATGAAGCCCGGCTTGCCACTGACCAGTAGCTTTTTCCCTCTGGCTGGTGATGGATTCTCTTACATTAAACATTGCAGTCATGTGCTGAGACCTCATGAAAGTGAAATGAGTGCCAGGCCTTAGTCGTCCTACAGCCTAATTGCTCCAGGAGAAATGGTTTGCTTAAGGCACAGCGTGCAGCTGGTAGGCAGAACACCTTGGCACACAAGGCAGCGATGCCCCTTTTTGCAGGTGGGGAGTCCTTCACCGTGGCTAGATACCCAAAATAGAAACGTCTCCTCGCTGCAACATTTTCGTAGGTAGCTTTTCCCTTATGGCCATCACTTATCTCCTGGATTTGGAGTCACCGTTGCTGTCGCCCGTCTCTGGAAGGTCTCCTGAAGCTCAATTAAGGGCATTTGCAATTTACCTTTCTCTCTTGTTAATGAAATGGAATGCACACAAGGCTGCCCTACAGAAGATGGGTTGGAACAGTAAATAATACAGCTGTTTAAGCACAGGGGGTTAGCAGCAAGTCTTCTCAGGCACGGAATTAGCTGCTGGATTCTTGGTTATGTGTGAAGGAGATTCTTTAGAGATCCTTGATATCAAACAGAGAGAGGCAGAGCACTCTTCAATGACTCTGGTTTCTTTTCCCTTGCAGCGGAAACGCCTTGCATCAAATTATTTGAATAACCCCTTGTTTCTTACAGCACGAGGTAAGCGGATTCTTAGATGAATGCACTGCTGTTCTAATGACATGCTAAATATTTATTAGTAGCATTTCTTAGGAATTAACTGCCCGGGTATCGGAAGGTGTAACCCTGTGGAAGGTCCCTGCACTTCCGCAGGTGCCCTGAAAATAGATAGTGTTGCAGCAAAAAACAATTAAGGGATAAGGCCATAGGTCAAAACTGTGGAGCAACTCATTTGAAGTCTCTTCAGTCAATGGAAGATCTGATCTCTAGCGCTGTAATCACCATGCAGTAGGAGAACTAATTGGAGAAGGCAATATTACCAAGGCCAAGTACTTGAAAGTACATATTAAAAAACTTGAATTGAAAGAAAAAGCATTCTAGGCTTGTCATTTAGCTCTCTTTTGTCAGCTATAAGAACCTGTTGTCAATTCACAAAGACTAGAAATTCCTCATATATTTTACTTTAGAAATAATATCTGAAAAATGTTTTTCTGATTCCAAGAGCCAGCGCCATAAAACTAGATTAGATGGCCTTGAAGATGCCTTCCAGTCCTGCATTTTTAGAACTTGGCATGCTGAAAACTTGATTGTAAAAGCCTTGAGAAGGAACATTTCAGAGGAGCCCTTTGGGATACGTTGAGCTGAGAGAACTGCATGGAATTGAATTCTCCATATGGGAGACATGTAAGACGTTTTAGGGAGAAAGTGAGAAGCTTTTAAGAGGAGAGAAAGCCGGTAAAGAAATGTGCTTATATCCCCCTTGCCCTGGTGTTGTGTTTGCAACCTAAGCTCTGCTGAGTTGCAGCCCAGCTAAGGGAAATCAGCAATTGTTCTTAGCCAAGTATTATTTCAGAGTGAGGAACATTTGCAAGACTTGTTTCAATTAAGACACAAAATTTTAACATGTTTTCAGTGTTTGCCTGATTTAACTGCCAAGATGTCCCCTTTAGAGCTTAAGAGTCATGTTTCTGGCCCAGCCTTGCATTCCTGTGCCATGGGGTGAGCAGCTCAAACGCTCTTGGTGCTTCTCATCACCTTCCAAACTTCACGTGCTGGAAGCAGGCGCTTTTCCTCCTTACCACGTGCCGCTAACACGCAGGTCTCCGAGAACCATAGAGGTTATTACGCAGTAAAGAGCGACAGTGACGTGCCTCTCAGCAAGAGCCCATGCTCCTGGGAGCCCCAGTGGGAAAAAATATGCCTGGCTTAGCTTTCTCATTGAAATTGAAACTATAATTTATCATTTGTCTCATCAAAGTCCTTGTTTTCCCCTCATAAATGCTTATCTAGAGAGACAGATGATGTTAGCAAGCTGTACCCACCCCCAAGCCTCTCCGTGGGGTTCTCATAAATCAGGGCTTGATTTCCCTGACTTACTTTCCTCCACCTTTCCCACTCTATTTTACAGGGAAGTGGAGAGGTGAGAGGATTGCAATGATGTGCCTGGCACAAGGCTGCTTGGGAGAGAGCACAAGCCTTAATCCCTCCATTCCCTTCGAGCCCTGTCGCAGTAGGGGGGGTTCAGCATCCACACTCTGCTTTCAGCATCTTCATATTCCACCAATTTTAAGTCAAACTTCTCTACAGCAGAGCTTTGCACCCGTTGGGTGTTTGGTAGTTGTATAGGGGTAATTTAAAGCACTGGGTAATTTAAAGCACTGGCACTGGGCACTCTTGTGCTCGGTGCTGAATAAGCTCAACCAAAGGCAGCTGCTGCAATTCCAGTCCTCTCGTCTGCCATCGACTACCCCTTCTGTTGTGTGAAGCTCCCTAAAAACATGAGTCTCCAGTCTGATTTTTCAGAAGCTAGAAGGCAGAAGTGAATATACTTTAAAATGTAAAACTGAGGTGAAAGGAGAAAGAAGCAAAATAAAAAATCCCTATGAACTGCAGAGAATAATTCTCATTTTCACAGATTTTCCACAGAATATCAGTTGATCAGAATTAATCCATCTGAAAATGTCTAACCTGAAATGAGGTCGCATCCCTTGATGTACACGAGACTGTTCAATCATTGAGCCTCTGTTTATCTGCGTAACATTCATAACCATGGTGTCATATACTCACGTGTGCCATTGTGTGTATGAAGTGACGTATATGCCTTTTAAAAGCCTGTGGTTATTTAGAGAACTCATTGCCAGAGGATGCTCCAGGTGCCAGAAAACTAGACAAATTTGGGGAAAAAAAAAGCTGCTGTTTGGACAAGTGGCAGAGTGGGAAGGAAATCCCTTCTGCTGAGAAGGGCAAGGAGAATCTGCACTCCCTGTGCTGTGGGATTTTAGCATCAGCCCTCCAGGCACGCAGGGTTTGCAGAGTAAATTCCTTAATCGCAGTTGGAAGCTACTTGGGGATGTGGCCCCGCTGCCTCCCTGTCCTGCCCCCAGTTATTTTGGCCCTGTCCCGGCACGTCGTGTCACAGCTTGACTAAAATGACTCATAGAAGTGAGAACCGGCGTTCCCGGCATCCGTGTTTCCCCCACTAACCTCTTTTCTGCCCTTCTCCCATATGCCAGCAAATGAGGACCCATTCTGGAAGGTACGTGCAGCAACGTGTGTGTATCCGTCACCGCTGTCCTCCTCATCGCTGTGCTTGCTTTTGGTTATTGCAGGCGCTGCCAAGGGGCTAAGTTGCAGGATGCTCTTTGCCTCTCGTGCTCCTTTGATGAAACATTTCCCACTTAGCAAATCTTTGAGGCTCCAAGTTTGAATTTCAAAGGGATGAACTTAGGGACTTTCATGTTCAAGGCTAGAGTTTAATCCCTCTGTGGAATCCACTGCTGGGGAAATCGGTCGTCCAGATTTGTGATTTTAATGAACATTTTAAGAAAAAGAAGTAAGTGTTCTACTTTGTGTAGATTAAATCTCTTGTATATTAAGGTTAAAATTAAGGCTTTTTAAGCAGGTAATTTTTACACAGTAATATTTTGGAGAGCCATTTTTCTGACAGGGCTTATTTAGAATTCACAGTTTAAGCCTGGCTAAAATTATCACGAGCCATTATAATTAACATCCCCCGAAATGAAAATATACTTACAGAATTAACAGAGGTATGAAATTATTATTCTTTCTGCAAAAGTCCTAGGCAAACTTAAGCTTCTTTTTTTTTTTTTATAATGATTCACAAACCATGAGAGTTTCAGAATCAGCCTCTGCTTTATTAAAAGGCACCTAATTATACAAAGCGTAATTAACGGTGCCACCAGATTAGCACAGCAGTTTACTGCAGGACACTGGATCTTGGCGGGCGAGCCCCAGTTCATTCTGTGCATTGCCTCAGACGACGGAGGAATCGCTCCTGTTCGGGAAGGCTCCTCGGGGAGTCAGCAGGAGTCACGGAGCCCTGGGGAGCCGAGGGCTGCCGAGGGGATTCATGGAAGAGGGCGCCCAGAAGAGGAGCCGGTTGTTTTCCCGATGCTCCCCAAGGCAGCGTGCCTCAAACGGGCAAGGGGGCTGCTTTTCCCCCCGAACCTTTGGCTCGCTTCCTTCTGCTTTGGACCTGAAGGACAAGGGAGTCCACACACCGACCTTGACGGCTCTCCCGAGCAGGAGAGCCCGCGCTGACGCGTGTGCCCGAGGGGCCCGCGCCGCGTGTGGACCCATTCCAGCCCCGCACGCTGCCCTGGGGGCTGGTCCCCTCCCACCTTGGATCGCTTGCTGTTGATTTTTCTGTTTCAATCCATCAAACCTGCCCCTGGCTCGCTCGGCTCGGTCGCCGTCCCGCTCGGCTGCTTGTAGGTGTGACCCGTGTGCCTCCTGGTCTGCCCTCGGCGGTGGCCAGGGCGTTTCTGAGCCGCCGTTTCGGTGCCCGAGCGGCTCCGTGGGGGCGGCGGGCGCCCCGAGCCAGGCCGTGCGCTGCCTTCTCTTGCAGAGCGAGGGCCCCCCGGCGGAGCAGTGCGCGGCGTGCCGGCGCGGCGCCAACCTGCAGCCCTGCGGCACCTGCGCCCGAGCCTATCACCTCAGCTGCCTGCAGCCGCCCCTCAAAAGCGCCCCCAAGGGCGCCTGGGCCTGCCCAAAGTGCCAACACAAGGTAAGGGGCACGGAGCTCCGCACAGCCTGGGCGGGAAACGGGAGGAACGCGGCCGGAACCGTGCGGCTGCTGGGCTCTAAGCTACCTAGCTGGCAGTCGCAGCTTAGGCTGCTGGGGTAGCGAAAAGGGAAAAAAAACTGCTTTTGTTTCTGCTTTTGTTTCTTGACTTCACTGTAATCACACCTGTCAAGATTTGTCCTGGAAAAAAAGATTTAAAGTTATCCATGTCCTTTCTGTTTCCCTGCTTAAAATGAAGCCACCGGCACGTGGGGTTGCAAAGCGCAGAACGTAGAGGTTGCGGGTGGGAAAGGCACTGTCAGAAGGCGACACAGTTCACCAGTGGCTCTGAAAGTGTGAAGGAGAGTACTGGGTTTTCTTTAGATCATGTTTCTTGCACTGATCACAGTCATGTCAGAAATGTTGATTTCCCTAGTTGCTGTGAGGGAAGGCTGCTTGCATTGACCCAAAACAATTGCTAGAACAGTGCAATGTCACCAAATGGTAGGGTGGAGGCTAAATTTTTGTGCTTCAGAATTCTCTGGATGTTGCGTTGAGATCACTGCCACATCCCTTTGAAAATGTCTGGAGGAGATCCGTGGATGTGAGCCGTAGAGCAGCCCAGGGTTCTCTCAGCACACCCTGAATGTCATTCAGCATCTCTCCTAAGCTCAACAGACCAAAGTCCCTGCACAATATTCCTGATGATGTGAAGGCCGGATGCTGCTCGAGGCAACAAGAAACAGCATTTATAACCCCTCTCAGCACAGTTTGGTAGCAGGGTTGACAGTGAAGAGGCATCTCCAATGGAGACGGCTGCTCAAGTTATTATCTCGTTGCTTTGCAGCTGGTAAATTCTAGGACAAGGGCCCTATGACTGGTCCTGCAGGACCGTGAGGCTGGAGGAAGACGAACATTCATGTGGGTCTGAGTGTGTGCGTGGTGTGTGTGTCTGTGTCGGGTACTAATTTCCTCTTGTGTCCCGGGCTTGTAGGTGTTAAAGAAAGATGAGAGCGTGCCGTGGAGCGGGACCCTGGCGATTGTTCACTCCTACGTCACGCACAAAACAGGTAGGGACCAGCAGCGTGGCTGGCGGCAGAAACTGCCCATTGCTCCAGTTGTGCTTGCTAACAGCAGCCTGATGAGCACTCGCCACACCCCACGCACGTGGCTGGTGTGTCTTGTCAAGCACGCCGTTTTGCCACATGCATTTCTTTCCTCCTGCCTCCGTAACCCTGTTGCTCCACAGTCAAGGAAGAAGAGAAGCGGAAGCTACTGAAGAGAGGCAGCGAGCTGAAGAGCGAGCACAGGCAGCTGGAAGAAAAGGATCGACTTCTCAACAACGCGGTGAAGGTAGGAGGCCTTCCCTGGCTGGGGACACAGCCTCCTACAGAGAGGCTTCTCAAGAATTTGTGCTTCAGAACCTTGCATTTGGGGGCTAGAAAATGATTTATACTCCCAAGCTACAGATGTGATACGTTTTTTAAATTTTTTTTCCGAGGAAAAGCAGGTGGATTTTCTTTGAGCGCAAAAGCAAGCTATTTTGGCAGACTGAGGAGGAAAATTCAACAGTGACTGAATTCCTGTTGCACAGACACACACACGCACACACAAAAAAAGAAAAAAAAAAGTGCAGTTGTGCCTGTCTTCTTTCAGTACCATACGCAGCTCTCACTGTGGTCTGCCCAGCGCCCTTAAGGCATTTCCATTCTCCCCACGAAAACGTTTTAGTGACAGCCGTGAGTCCCAGTGGCCACTGCTTGTCCCTCTGCCCCACGCTCTCGAGGTTAGGCAGGGAGACCCTCACAAAACCCTCTCCGTGATGCCTGTCCTCGCTGGGGAAGTTCCTGTCATTCGGGGCCACATCCCCTCACACCCGCTCTTAAGGGATAGCTATTAGTTGGCATCGCAATCCCAATAAATGTTTCAGACTTCCTTGGCCTAAAAACGCTGGAGTGGGAGCGGTAGCAGGAACTGGTGACTACATGTCTTACCCCTGCCGTTTTCCAAAAGATGCACGTTAAAATACTTATCACATCAGCAGTAGCTGATTAAAAGCCACCATAGTGAGAAACAGACTCTGAGAATATGCACGTATCCCATATGTTTGGAAACAAACCTGTTCCTGGAGAGGCACCTCTCTTTGTATGGGAAGGACCCACACATCCCACATCCCACAGAGCAGGGGGATGAGGCATTTGGAAAATGGCAGGCATCTGGGGAGGCGTTCAGCTATTAGATGTGTGTCATGACTGTCAACAGCAGCAGGGTCCTCCCTAGACAGAGTCTGATTTCTTCAGTGGGAAACAGTGTCTCTTGTTTCAATGTAGTGTCAGCCAGTGGTTATATTTATTAGAGAGCCCCTCCTGAAAGGAGAGAAGCAGCTAAAAATCCCTCATGTTCTTCTTAACAGACATTTACCTTAAAGAGAGATCTCATTAAAGGGAAAGCTCACGTGCACACCACAGGTGGAGCCAGGTTATTTGTTAAAAAAGCGCAATGCGTGACTTGCGCATCACCTGAGAGCTCACCTCGCTAAGCAAATGTCCGAGCAGTTCCACCCAGTTGCCTTTCAAACAGGCAGGACCTGATTTCCAGGTGAGCGTTTGCCCCATGCCCAGCTCTGGAGAACTTTCCTCCCCGCGGGGCAGTGCCGACCAAAGCCAAAGAGGGACAACCCGCCGGCGAGCAACCAGGTTCGCTGGCCAGACCCCTGCACTCGCTGCAGAGAGAAGATGGGACGGGTTGGTGCTAGAGACAGATATTTGGGAGGGCTTCCTCCTGACTGTGGTGGTGTGTCATAGGGGCCTAGATGGAGGTGTCTGCCCCCAAAGTGCTGCAGTTTGCAGGGTCCGAAGGCGCCAGGGTGGCACTGAGCCCCACGGCCCATCTGCAGCCATCTGCGTGGTGGCTTCCCGTGCGACACCAACACAGTCCCAACAAACAGCCCCACGCCAACGGGTTTGGGGCGTTGCTGAGAGCTTGGTGGCCGGCCTGCTGCACCAAGGGGTCAGCAAGGCCTCCCGCTGCCCGAGCGCTCCCTGGGCTGGGCCGAGCTGCCGCTGCGCCGGCGGCGACGGCACGCGAGGAGGCCCCGGGCCGGCCGCGCTCAGCCTGTCCTTGTCCTTTGGCAGAAATGCTTGGAGCTGAAAAGCAGCCTGCTGGCGCAGCAGAAAGGGACTCAGTCGTCGCTGGAGCGCCTCAAGGCCCTCATCAGACTGATGCGCAGCGAGCAGCTGCTGCAGGCGGCGGCGAGGAGCGCGGCGCCGGCCCCGCTGCTCGCCGTGCCCTGGGCGAAGGCGCCCGCCGCCGCCGCGGCCACCGCGCGCCCGACCCTGCCGCACCCCCAGGGCAGCAACTGATGGAGGGCGCTGCCTGCGGCCGCGCCGAGCACCGGGCGCCCGGGGACGCAGGCCTTGGACACGAGCGCGCCAAGGGGCACGGAGCCGGAGCGGAGCCGAGCGGGGAGGGAGTCGCTCCTTGGACACGTGGGGAACTCGCCCAGCGGCCGGGCCCGCCGGGAGGCGCCTGGGGCCGCAGCCTCCCCCGCGCGGGCCTCGCTGCGGCCTCGCACGGCCGAGGCCTCCAGCGCGTGGCGGGTTTCCTGTGTTGCTCCTTCGGCCTTAATGCAGTGAGGGATGCGGGCGCAGGGTGGCCCGCAGGAGGTGGCCCACGCGGCTCTGCTTCACAGGGGGGGAAATGGGAAACACGAAGAGGTAGTGAGCAAGTAGCGACTAGCGGCGCGGCTCGGAGGCGCTTGTGGGAGGGAGGCTGCTGGAGCAGGGAGCCCTGCGGAGGCAGCGGCGCCGCCGGCGCAGGGCAGCGGCCACCGGGGCTGCCCGCCCCACGAGGACGTCCCGGACACGCGCAGAGCCTTCGCAACAAGAGAACGTTTTGGTTTTGATTTCAGTATTATTATTATTATTATAGTTGAGAATTGCAGATATTTAAATAAAGAAGCTGTATGAAGTTAGCGTTTCTAGTAAAATATTGAAGTATTTTCATGCTGATGCTTCTGTATATGCGTTCCGAAGTATTTAAAAAAAAAGAAGTATGACTGTAAAACTCCTTACTTTTTTGCAGGTCCTTTTTACTTATTTTGCTATTGGTGTATTTTTCTCATGGAGTTTTTGTGCAAGATTTAGCATAAACCATAATAGTGGATATCTTTGGCCGGTTGGGTTTTGTTTCTTAAAGGGGTTGTTTTGGGGATATTTTTTGTTGTTGATTTCTGGCTTTTTTTAAAAAAAAAAGCAAGCAAAAAAAATACTGTCTTTTTTGTTTCTTGACAGTACAGATAATATGCCAAAAAGATAGCTTTACATTTTTGTACTGCATTTTTATTGTTAAAAATAGGTAATATGAGGGTCTTTTTTTTTTTTTTTTTTTTTTGCTTGCATAAATGTCTGCTAAAATGGTACAGGAGAAAAAACAAACCTGCCTCAAGGGTTGTTTCTCACATTGGATAATAGCAAAAGTCCCGGGGGAGGGACAGGCCTTGGCCAATCTTAAGGGTTTGCTGGGTTTTTGCTGGGTTTTTTTTTTTTTTTTTTGGAAACTTGATTCCTGTTTCCCGACTTGAGCGCTTTGGAGAGGGGCTGGTGCCGGCCCGAGCGCATCGCGAGGCTCCCGCTCGTCTCACTAGTCTTCCTGCCCCGCCGCCGTCCCAGCCACGGCGGCACCGCGGGCACCTGCCCAAAGCGAGAGGGGCCCGCGAGCCACGCGGTGCCCAACACCTTTGCTCCTTCCTTATCTTCCTTTTATTCTTTTATTCTTTTTTTTTTTTTTTTTTAATAAAAATAAAAACGAGGGACTGGCTTTTTCGGTCGCCCGTCACTAGGCAGCGCGTGGTCCCTTCAACCATTTTCACAACTCCGGGAGAAACTGTGCAGTACTATACAAATCTATTTTAATACACAACACTCGGTTGAACAAGATTTTTATATTCTTTTATGGATGAACAAAGTGAACTAAGTAAAACACAATTGTGATACATTGGTTATTGTATGCCAAGTATGCATTCTAACGTGGCTTGCAGCGTAAGTGTTTTCAGGTTTAATGATTTTCTTTCCTTCTCAGACAAATTAAAAAGAGGAGAAGCGGGGAAGGTTGCGGACGTTGAAGAACTGCTGAGGAAGCGTCTCGGACTGTTAAAAGTAGTTGCTTTGAAAGGGGGACTGTCCAGTGGATAGTGTGCATAGAGGAAAAAAAAAAGTGTGTGTCTTACATATGCCAATGTAGTTTTACTTCTTTATGACGCATTAAACTTGACTGACGATTTAATGGCGTCGGAGTCGTTGCGACGGCCGCGCGGAGGGGAGGCCGCCGGCAGCTGCTTGCTGGGCCCGAGGACGTGGCCTCCGGAGCAGTGCCCTCATCCCGCTCTGCCTCGGGCCCAAAGGCAGCGGCATGAAGTGACGCTGGCGCCGGCCCCGTGGGCCGGGAAGGACGTCGCCCTCGGAAGGAGCCAGCAGGGCCCCGGCTTTGCGGGCAGCGCGAGGCTGGCGAGCGCCCAGCGTGGTCTGGCCTGGGTGTGAGGCCGCCGCTCGCCCTCCAGCGCAGCCGCGTGGGAGCCCGTGCGGCTGAGGAGCCGCCGCCTGCCCCGGCCTCTGCTCCCCAGGCTGGAGCGCGGGCGCTGTGATCCCCTCGGCAGCTTGTCTCTGCGAGGGACCCGCTGCCCTCCTGTGGGTCAAAGCGTGGACAAAGCCCATGCAGGGAATGGTGTGGCTGGAAGGCAGAGCAGGCAGGAGGGCCTCATGAGACACCTTCTGATTCCCCTTCGTGGTTTCGGGCAAACGCTCGGCCCCCTCAGAGGAGAGCTGCAGTCCAGAAACTCTATATGTTAGTTTATATTATACAAACTAATTATGATGGTTGTCCTCTACAGTCTCTCCTTTGCAGGAATAGGGTCTTGCAGAAAGCGGCTGTTATCAGAGGCCACTCTGAATTGAAAGTCAGCAGTAGTTCTCCTTGATAGCTCTTTCTTGGTGGAAAGAAAGCAGCTGAAGAAAAAGCAGACACAAAGGAAATTCAGCCCTCCCTCCTCCCTTTTCTTAAAATAATTAACTTGACATTTTAAAACTACTAAAAATATACAGTATGGTGGTCTTGACATAACCAGACACACCGTCAACCTACCTGCGCTTGGCAGAAGGGCTGTAGCAAATAAGCGCAGGCAGCTTTGGTTGCCTCCTGCGGCAGATGCACGTTCACACCGACCCATTCAGTCTCATGGTTGCGTTTAAACACATGATGGGTGGAGGGTTCTGGGCACTGTTGTGGCCGTGCTTCTACACAGGCATTAAGGCCTTCACAAGCCCAGATGCTGTGATCTGTGACAGGACAAGGGGCAATGGGTGCAAGTTGCAACTCAGGCAGTTCCATCTTCATGTGAGGAAGAACTTCTTCACTGTGAGGGTGCCAGAGCCCTGGCACAGGCTGCCCAGGGAGGCTGTGGAGTCTCCTTCTCTGGAGATCTTCCAAACCCGCCTGGATGCCGCCCTGTGCCCCGTGCTCTGGGTGTCCCTGCTGGAGCAGGGGGGTGGACTGGATGAGCTCTAGAGGTGCCTTCCGACCTCAACTATTCTGCGATTCTGTGATCCTGAGACGCAAGCGGAGCATGGGAGGTATCAGCTGAGAAGCTGGTGCCTGGAGCCACAAGCAGCCTGACCAGCCGAGTTGCTGCAAGGCTGTTGCACCACAGAGAAATCGCTGCCACAAAACCGCTCCACTTTAACCATCGCTCTTTTTTTTGGGTTATAGGAATAACTTTGGGTAAAGCTTCTTAGCTGCCGACAGGTCTGAAACACATGGTAGAAATGCAGTTTTCTTCCTGGTATTTGTGTCTGAAAGTCTTGTTCTTGGTCTGCAGGGCAGTTCAGTGTCCAAGCCAGGACCCTGAACCCTGGGGAGATTTCGCTGCTGAGCAGAGTCCTCACTCTGCCTTCCCATTTGCAAGGAATATGAAAGCGTTCGTAGTGCTCCGTGTCTTCTTAATTCCCCCGCTGCTCTTAGATGCTACTGGAGTATTGTCTCCTGCAATCCACTGGAATGGTGTGGATAGAGACCAGCATGAGGCACTTCCTGAGAGGGTGACAAGGAAAGGGAAAGGCAGAAACGGGCAGCAGCACCTACAGCTCCTGCCGCTCTCACAGCCCCACGGCAGCTCCTGTGGTGATGTGACGCCCCGCAGGAGTGTTTTCCTGTAACCTCTTTGAGCCGATAAAACCCCCTCAGAAACCAACAGAGAAAGGGAACGAGTGTGACTGGCCAGTTGGGTTTCAGCTGAACATGAGTTTCCAGCCTAACCTCTTACAGGTGGTTCTCCCTCCCTCCCTTCCTCCCTGATTCCCCATTGCCTGGGGGAAGGCGTTTGGGAAGGTGCTGGCAAGCACACGTTCCCGGGGCCACAAGGACGAGCTGCTTGGGAAATGGAGCTGGATGGCCCTGCCTTGAGTCTGGTCACGAGCTCAACTTGCCCCTTCCTTTGCCTAAATGCGCATTTAACGTGGCTGAAATACCCGGCTCTGCTGTTAGGAGGCTGCTGGAGGCTGCACGGATCCTGGGAGGCTGCCGCGGATCGCGGGCCGCGCGGAGGCCGGACACAGTCACTTTTAGGAGGTTTTTGGCAGGCTCTAAAATTCCCTTCCCTGGTGACATGGATCCATCCTCCTGCATTTCCTCTCAGATCCAGGTTGGAAATTCCCTTCCCCATTCAGCGCTTGCTGCTAGAGGCGTCTGATAATGGGACTAATCCTGGGGCCCATTTCAAAGCAGCTCGGCAAAGTGAAATATTCTCTGCGCGTTGTCAGCTCTGTAACACCCCGTTCCTCCTTTCACGGCTGCATTTCATTGTTTTAAACTCAAATCCAGCAGGTATATTTCAAACAGATTATCTCCATAATCACTTTCTTTTCGCTGTGGCAATGATTTGGAGGTGGCTCTTTGATAGGCGGGAAGAGTTCACGGGAACGCGCTGCACAAAAGCGCCAGTCGCGCAATTTACCGTGTGTAAAGGGAAATTGTTATCAAAGTAACGGCAGGGGACACCGCCAGGACTCCTCTTGGAGGCAGCAGATGTGAGACGTGTGTTTCTCGCACACGACTTTCACTGAAGACCCTGCTGAATAATTCATGGCAGCTGATTTAATGCCGGAGTTAAATCCGGCCGGAGATGGGGGCTCTGCGGCAGCTCTTGGATTTCACCGCTTCCTTTGGGCCAGGCAGGGGTTTCTCCTTCGTGAAGAGAAGCCCCTTCCCACCTGTCAGGAAAAGGCAGGAGTCTTCCCTGTTCTTGTGGCGGGCAATGCTTTACGTTTAAATAGGAATAATGGTTGCTCATGACTTATGGACATTTGAGAGG